TGTTCCATTGGTCTATGTATCTGTCATTAAACCAATACCAGGCAGTTTTGACTACTGTGGCTGTATAGTAGGTTTTGAGATCCGGTAATGTGAGACCTCCTACTTTGTTTTTCTTCTTCAGTAGAGCTTTGCTTATCCGAGGTTTGGTATCTTCTTTTTGTGTTTGGTCTTTAGCAATATTTTCTAATGCGTCTGGAATCTGAATGTATGATTCTAGGATTGCACTTGAAGATTTCCTTTCTAGAGTACTTCTTTCCATAGAATTTGTTTTTATATAATGATATACATACAAAAAAATATATAATATTTCATCAGTTTCTGTATGTACACTTCAGTGATATACATGTTACATTACATTTTTTAAGTTGTACAACCATTCTTGCTACCTTTTTACAAATTATCCTACCACCATTGTCCAAGAATTTTTATTCTGATACCTAAAATGTTTCTCACTGCCATTGAGTTAGTTCTGACTCATAGTGACCCCTCCTTGGGTTTCTGAGGCGGTATCTCTGCAGAAGTAGTTTGCCCAGTCTTCCTTCCGAAGAGTGGCTTAGAGGTTTGAACTGCCAGCCTTCTGGTTAGCAGTCAAATGGATTCAGAGATATGTGGTGAATAAGGTGGTTACATCTTGCTCTGAAATTTGAATGACATCTGTCAGATAGAGTTCTAGATATGTTTGCAAAAAGTGATAAGATGCTTTTAGAAAAAGGAATATTAAAAATTCTAGGTGGAAAAAAAAAGAATCTTAAGCAATAAAAATGCCCTGAGACTTAATGAGGAACAAAAACGTTGTTTACAAAAAATGATTTTCTGCAACTAATTCTGGTCTCCTTTTCTCTGATAAAACAGCTTCTTATTACTAGGGATTCCCCACAGCCTGTTGAGGAGAAGGTTGGTATCCTCACGAAGATCGTTGAAGCCCTGGGATTCACTGGACCTTTGAAATACAGTAAATGGGTAAAGTTCTTTAAGATCTTTGCATTTTTTAGTTTGAGCTTTGTGCTTTCTGCTCGTCACAGATTTTAAAAGCTTTTGTGAGAGTCACATGTTATTTACAGAGCCTCAAAATGTGTGTCCCTACGCCTTCTCCCACTCCTAAGTCAGATCTTTACATGTGGGACTGAAATACTCCCTCTACTCCTTTCACCTGGCTCTTTGGAAGTACCTCAGTAGTAGGCATGGCAATAAGACTGGGCTTTTCAGGCCTCCGCCACATGATAGGCCATACAGATGAATTCTAAAGAGCCAGATGGGTAGCATTTTTTTGTTGTTGTTTTGTTTTTTCTAAATTTTATTTGTTTCGTTATTGTTGTTGGGAATATATACTGCAAAACATAAATCCATTCAACAGTTTCTCCATGTACAGTTCAGTGACATTGATTATATTCTTTGAGTTATGTAGCCATTCTCACCCTCCTTGTCTGAGTTGTTCCTCCCTCATTAACATAAACTCACTGCCTGCAAGGGTTGCAGTCTAATCTTTGGAGTTGCTATTGTCAAGTTGATCCCATATAGATAGTTCTTAAAAGAGCATGATGTTCAAGGCAGATCTTTTTTACTAGGTAAGCAAAACTATTGTTCAGTTTACTGTGCCTTCAGGGGATATTATTTGGTTTAAGGTTTAACGAATACCTCAGGGGTTCATCCACTCTCCATGGCTCCAGAAAGTATAGAGTCCATGAAACTTTGAAATTCTGTTCTGCATTTCCCTTTTTTGATCAGTATTCTTCTATGGAATTTTTAATCAGAATGTTCAGTAATGGTAGCTGGGCACCATACAGTCTGGTCTCATTGCAAAGGAGGCAGTTGTTCATGGAGGCTGTTAGCTGCACATTCCATATCCCCCTCCTATTCCTGATTCTCCTTTTTATATAAGTAAGGTCATACAATATTTGTCCTTTTGTGATTGGCTTATTTCACTCTGCACACTATCTTCAAGCTCTATATATCCTGTAACATGTATCAAAACTCTCCTATTGGTTGAATAATATTCCATTGTATGCTTGTACTGCGTTTTGTTTATTCAGTGATCTGCTGAAGAGCATTTAGCTTGTTTCACCTTTTGATTGTTGTGAATAGTACTGCAGTGAACATTGGTATGCGTCTTTTTTTTTTCCGTTGGTATACAAGTCTCTTTTTGAGTTTCTGCTTTCAAGCCTTTTTGGTGTATATACCTAAGAGTGGAATTGCTGGGTCATATGGTAGTCCTGTTTTCAGGACTATATACGGCAAAAAAACGCCACACTGTTTTCCATAGTGGCTGTACCATTTTGCATCCCTACCAGCAATGGATAAGGCTTCCAATTTCATCACATCCTCACCAACATTTGTTATTTTCTGTTTTCTTTCATCTTAGCCACCCTAAACCAAACAAAAACTCACTGCTGTTCAGTCAATTCTGACTCATAGTAATCCTTTAGAACAGAGTGGGGTTTCCACATAGGGTTTCCAAGGCTGTAAATCTTTATGGAAGCAAACTGCTTCATCTTTTTCCTGTGGGGAGTGGCTGGTGGGTTTGATACTGACCTTTTGGTTAGCAGCTGAATGTTTTAACCACTACACCACTGGAGTGAAATAGTATCACATTGTGTTTTTAATTTGCATCTCTCTGATGGCTAATGACGCTGAGCATCTTAGGGCAGCATTCTTTAGGACATGTTATTCTCTGATGAGTCTATATTCTTAATGGGTTTTCACTAGGTGATTGTAGTGACTTTCTTTGTGATTTTACTAGTAGGCATCTTTATTAAATAGCTTTGTAATTTATTATAATAATAATTATTGTTATTATGCAGGAATATTTGCTATCTGTATCATTCCTAGTCAACTCTGGCCCTAGCACATTACTGTTATATACCAGTACTGATCGCTGTCACGTCAGTTCTCATTCATGGTGTATGAGAGTAGAACTGTGCTCTGTAGAGTTTTCAGTGGCTGATTTTTTATGAGATCACCAGGCCTTTCTTCTGAGGCACCTCTGAGTGGACTCTAATCTCCAGCCTTTTGGTTAGCAGCCAAGTGCTTAACCATTCCCACCACCTAGGGACTCCACCTATTATATAGTAGTTACTATAAATCAGTGAATATCCCCTCTCCATCAAATGCACACTGCCCCTAGGCTTCTGTAATAACATTAAATCAATTATAGTAGTAAAACATTAGTGGTTTAATTCTTCTTAGCCCAGTTATGTCCTAATACATCCTACCATTGTGGCAGAAATGCCTTCTAATGACTTTCAGGGTTGAGAAGATGTTGGATATTCCTTATCGGTAACAAGTGATGTATTAATCAAAGCATTAACCAAACCAGACCAAGTTCACTGCCGTCAAGTCAGATCTGACTCATAGCGACCCCTCCTTGTGTTTCCGAGGTGGTATCTCTACAGAAGTAGATTGCCCAGTCTTCCTTCCGAGGAGTGGCTGGTGGGTTTGAATGGCAGCCTTCTGGTCAGCGGTCAAGTGCCTGAGACACCACGCCACCAGGGCTCCCTATCAAAGCATTAGGGGACGCTTTTCCAGAAACCATCATGATTTGCTCAAAGTGACTAAGTAATGCCAGTTACACCATTTCAGCAAGTTGGATTAAAATTAGAATTTCAATTTTATTATAGATTTTTATTTTTAGCTTTTTATTATAATATCTGTTTCTCTTCTTGACAATTCTCAGTGCAGCAAATATTGGCTTCCCTTTATAATCTCCTTTTGTATGGATTACAGAAAGTAAACACAAGTGTTTTGTTTGTCAGGGGCTTTGGAAAAATGTAGAAAATGCTGCAATTAAACCCAAAACTCAAACCCATTGTCATTGAGTCGATTCTGACTCAGTGACCCTATAGGACAAAATAGAACTGACCTATGGGATCCTAAGACTGTACATCTTTACAGGAGCAGACTGTCATATCTTTCTCTTATAGAGCAGCTGGTAGGTTTGAACTGCTGACTTTTTGGTTAACGACAGAGCACAGAACCACTGCAATACCCCAGCTCCTTAAATGCACATACTAGGTAATAATGATGTTCTTGAGAGCCTGAGTTTATAAATGACTTCTTAATCATCAAAAAAATATTATAGTCATTAAAGTTATCTTTTTAAATTCTGATTCTTTGACAAGCTGATAATTGTGGTGTGTTTGGTAATTTCCTTAACCAGAATTATTTCTCCCTTTTTTTTAAAAAAAGTTGTAATTTGACATTTGGATTTAAAAGCTTAAAATATGTGTTTGGTTTAGGAATTAGAAATTAATTAAAAGAAGAGGGAAATAAAACAGAAAAAAAGTTAAAGGAGAGATCTAAGTGCAAAAGAGAAAAAAATTACAATTTTATTCATTTCTTAGTAGTTGAGTTCCACTTGGTTGCTACCATATACTTTCTCTAGTGTGTTTTTTCATGATTCAAGAGGGAAAGTTGGCTACCATTTGGGGGATTACTAAATCATCAGGAAAATTTCTTCACTTTTTAGCTTAAGTTAGCCTCTGATTTTTCTTGGTTCCTTTGTGACCTCAATTAAGTCTTAAATATTTCCATTTAAAATCTATTTTGTGATGTGGCAGTATCTACCCACATATTGTAGTTTGTGACATCATAATATCAAAGTATGATATTCTAGTATAATTTAGGTGGGAAAATGTATGTATAACTTTTCATTTTGAAGCAGGCCCAGAGCCCTTTTCAACAGTGCTGACTCAGAAATCTATGGCTAAACACCCATATTGGATTGCAGTGGTACAATTCTTTGAGCTTTTTGTTTTCACATGTATTTGATTAGGGAATAAAGTGCCTGCTTGTCTGTCCACGTCAGCAGTATCAACCATACACATACACAGAAATGCTACAGAAAAAGATCTTTTTCTGTAGCATTTCTGTGTACCTTCCTTTGGGGGGGGGGGGTGGAGGCAAAGAATAATATGCCACTCCATTTGTAGAGAAAAGAATTATATTGTCATCAAACCAGGTTACTTTTAAAAATACCATTTTAATTACCAGATTTAGTCCATTCTAATGCTAAATATATTTGTAAATGCTGCTTTCTACCTTTTACTATTCAGTGAAGTCATAGATCTCATAAAGCTTCCATTTGTCTCCTAAAATCTTCCTTAGGATTTATGAATATAGCTTTCCTTTACCTATTTATTCTGAAATAACCATTCTTTCTCAATATCCTGTATAGCAGTATCAGGTAAGAGAAGGACAATATTTACCAGATTCAGTCACATGTTATAGAATATTCCATATTAGTGGTAAGCCAAAAAATTACTCCATTCTGAAGGACACTGAAAAACTGGAATGCATTCAGAAGTAGACAGTGAGCCTTGTGAAAGCTTCCAAAAACATGTTGAATGAAGAATGGTTAAAGTAAATGGGCATGTTTTGTCTGGAAAAGAAAAGTCCAGATAATTCTCAGGTATTTAAGGGATTAATGTTAAAAAAGAAAGAAAGAAGTGAAGATTGTTAATCTGAGATACTCCAGTGGGCGGAGTAAAGTTTAATGAATGTTACATGGAGCAGATTTAAGTTCAATAATACAAAAATCTAATAGCAAACAAGAATTATCCTCCAGTGGAACATGTAGCCCACAAGGTCTTTACACTTGTTTGTGTGGGGGCATAGATGGTTGACTGTGGATCAAGAATGTTGTGGAAGGAATGCCATTACAGAATAGAAGGTTTCTATTCCCCTTCCAACTCTCATGTAACTATTAGAGTAAGCCTTTCACTTGGTTTTTATCATGTAGGATGACATAAGGTACATCAAAGATGTACCAGAGAGTAGATTTTCATTTCCCAAAGCTGTCCATTAACAACCTGTGCTACGTAGACGACAAAACTTGCTGAAAGTGAGGATGGTTGCTGAAAGTGAGGATGACTTAAAGCATTCACTGATGAAGATTGAAGACTACAGTTTGCAGTATGGATTACACCTCAATATAAAGAAAACAAAAATCCTCACAAC